CCAATTTCCATTACTAATCGTCGTTTAAACTTACCTGTGTGACATGTGGATCATTAACTATATATCGCTTATCGCCCTTGTTGCGTGACGTCATAAGAAAGAGTGAAATAGGAAGTACATATTATATTGTCGTTTTGGAACATTATCGTTCGCGAGATGTTGCCATATCGGCTTTTCACTGTACCAATAAATCAGAACAAGACATGAGTATTTATTTAAATCCTTATGCACCTGTAATTGAGGAAACTTTGGACATTAAATATAAAAAAGAGATGGTTTTGAGCCTAATAAACAAAAACGCTGTAAATATAAGCGACATTTTACATAGACAAGTTTAGGCTACAGGTGCATTAATTATAAAAATGTCTCAGAAATTTCCTTGTTTTATTTCAAAATTTAAATTGCATTTTTTTTTTATTTGTCAGTTTAAATATTTATAGCCGCAATGCTGTTTGGAGGGAAAGGTTTTTTGGATTCTTGTAACAGTTTTCAAGAAGATCTCAAGCACCTGACGATTGGTTCACTGTGCCCCTTCCCACCTACTGAGAATTAAACTAAACAAACTATACATATCATGTATTCCTTGTCTGTCATTCCAATACTTCGATATTTTATATCTTTCCGTTTTTTTTCAAATTTTAGAGATTGTCCCTCTACATTATACATATATTACATTGCCTCGAGGGCAGCATACCAGAATATTTGCCCCCTTGGGGCAATAATTCTGGTATTTCTGCCCGAGATATTACGCCATGTAATATATGGTATTTAACATTTTTAAAAATTAAACCCAGATCGATCATCGATTCGAACATATTTATTATAGGATTAAACGTTCTTTTTTCAGAATTTATCGATGTGTAAACTCTGCCTTTTTACTCACAAACTGAATAAAAGTACGAAGCACTTTTATGTAAAGTTTGTGAGTAAAAAGGCCGAGTTTACACATCGATAACTTCTGAAAAAAGAACGTTTAATTCTTATAATTCCAATTACGAATTTTTTAAACTATTAAAATTATTTCTCTTTGAGGCCGCCATACAATCCGTTATTTTGTACGGCGTAGGAATACTTTATGCCGAAAAGAAACGTATACAAGATGAATATCGATAAAATCCAACTTAAATTGTCAAAACAATCAATAAATAAACTTATAAAAATCATTGAATGTTGTTTAAGTCAACAAATATCGTAAATACGCGTATTCTCCAGAATAATTTGTCCTTAACCATCCTGAACCATGGCCATGTTGACATTAACGACAACGTCATAGCGAAAGTTGCAGACCGACGACGTCCTCGATTTGCTCTGGTTCGTTCAAAGATTTAGGGAGAATATGGGATCTGTAGGATGTAAATATATAAATTTGATGCTGAAAAGGCAAGAGTCCGAGGTACGTTTCTTTTCCCTATCACAACGACACCAACTGAGCTGATATGGAACGTCGAGAAAATGACAGCATGATCGGCGATTTTTTAAAATCCACACTCGTGATCCGACAGTGACATAAACATAACATTCCCGTCTGTCATTCCTGTTTATCTCCTTTTCATTCATTCATTCATTCATTTTTTATTTCAAGTGTCTTCTAATCATAATTTAGCTAAAACGGACTTCAAGTACTAGTATCTGTTTTCATTGTTTTTACAACAGTCAAAAAAGAGTTCTGATTGAAAAATTCATCGATGTGTAAACTTTTTCTTGAATTTGTTCTCGTCCAATCAAAACACAGGGAATCAATAAATTCAGATTGGAATTATTAAACACTACATGTATGTACACATGTACATATATGTAAAAATGCATTGTTAATATTGTTAAGTAAGTGAAGTTAGTAATGTTAGTTTCAATAATAATGGTAATGAACATTAACGCCGGCTTAAATTTGTGAACACTGTTTTCTTTTCCCTGAAAAATGTTCAAGTTTACTGTCTTTGTTTCTTCTGTAAAAAATGTTTCAAGAAGTCTTCGTTCCTGTGAGTTTGTAATATCAAGAAAATCCATATCTGTAGAGATATAATCATTGATATTGTTACCATAGTATAAAGTCTAATTTAAAGGGAAGAAAACTACGATTCGGTTATTAACCTTCAAAGCATAACTGATCGTCATGTAGAGGTGACGGAGGAGAGGGAGATTTTCTAGCAGGCGCCTTCTTCTCAACTGTAAAATTTAATATAAGAAAGTTATCAATACAATACTTATTTGTGAACTTCGTATTTTTATATTTTATTTTAAAAGATAATATTTTTCTTTACATACCATGAACAGAGTCTCCTGTTATTGTCTAGGAGATTGACATGGCCATGTCTAGTTTTTTTTTCTGTCATCTACATGGGCGGCGTAGCTTCTAATGCTGCTTTCTGACTGGTGGCTAGAAATACACATTATGTGCCGAGCTTCCATAGCGTTTTGCAATGAATACAAATCTTCTGCCTTCATCGTCAGTGCTTGCTGAGAAATACAGCATATTGAAGGTCCGATCTTGTTATGGGACCTTTGTGAACCACAGTTCCTTTTTTATTTTGAACACACAGCAAGAATCACATTATTCGCTTCCTTGAAATTGATGTCATTTACAATTTCCACTTTTCTTTTTTTTTTTCAGGAAATGTTTTTGTAGGCCAAACCTTACTGAAATCTAGCTGCAGATAGGTAGCTCTCCGAATATTTTGATAGACCGGAGAGCTACAGTGCCACCCATTGAAAAAAACTATATTTATTGCGCATAAAAAAGTGCGCAATTTATATTAAAATTGTTTCCATTACATATTTATTCAAACAATAAAACCTCGTTGTTCACGCATGCAAGTGATTGTTCCTCAATTTTCTGCCCGCAGTTTTGTTTTCCTTCAACACTTACTTCCTCTTGTGCCGGCGTCTAGACATAATTATGAAATCAGAATATACTTAAAATAGTTTTGTCTTCTTTATTCTAAAATAAATTAGGGTGAAATAATTCATATTGAAATATTTTTTAAATGAAAGCGCCACGTGACCAATATTTTTTGCAAAAGAGGTCTGTATGTAGTAATTAATTTCCGTTTGAGTGGATAAAAAAAAATCATTTCAGGAGGGGGAAGGGGCAAATAAAAATAAACCGTTTCGCATAAAAAAGGTTCTGATCCATATTATTTCCTATAAAATGCTTTAGTAATTGTATCAACTGAAAGAAATACCTAGTTAATTTAACTATAATGCCTCCTAAAGCGTTCGTTGTGATTAGTAAATATTCTGTTTACTAGCTATGATAGTGAGTAGAAGGTGTCTCGTGGAGCGGGGATCGCATAAATACTCACCAAGTAAAATTTACTTATAATGTCTTAATTTACTAATGTTATCTAGTAAATCTACCCAATACCTTGTTAAACCATTTTTGAGGTAGTATTATATGGACAGTAAATTTACTAGCCTTCCAAGTGAATTTACTAAGTAAAACTTGTCAGTGTATCTGCATTTTGAGAGGGTTCCTTCAGAGTACCTAGACAGTAGATTTCCCCTAAACTCGGTATGTATAGTGAAGTCAATGTAAGCTACATGTGGTATAAAATTAAAGTTTCTCCATGGTTTCCTTCACACAATAGTTAAGGATTTAGATGTGTAATATGCCACTTCCGGTTAAAATGCCGAGGTGTTCGACATCGGCAGTTCTCGGAACATCTATCTTCGTAAACAAAAATGGCGCGTCGTTAAGACGGCCTAGGACGCTATCATAAAACATACACCAAAGGAACGGATTATAGCTAATCAAAGGAAAGAATTAATATGATATTAAATAGAAAACATCTTACTATACTTTGGTTTGGCAAATTTGCAGTTAAAACGATGTTATCTCCATATACACACTACAAGGGTTTTTCCAACTTCTAAAAATAGCACCGATTTCGAAAAAACAAAGTAACTTTTCATTGTAATTTTGTGATTCTTTTTATATCAACTAACACTTAATCTAAAGCGACACTCCGCGGTGAACCATTGACCCCGCAGTCATAGGCAAAATAATTGATATATTAAAACCTTTTCACAACAATTAAAACATTGGAAAATTATTATTGTCAAATATTTTAGATTAATATATATGTTGGCTTATCTTTGTTTTAAATATGATCGTGATACATATTTATCTAAAACAGCTAACAAAGTTTTGTGTTTGTTTACAATTACGCTGACAACCATTTCTTCCATCGCATGTTGACATTAATTTACACCCCATGGTCGACGTGTTAAATCTAATTGAATATTTTTTTCTTTAAGTAAATCGAATCTTTCAAAAATATCTTAAAAGGTTTGACTTAAGTACAAAAGGCTGGGGCATACATTTTACATGTACATTAATCAGTTTTCAATTAATCAGTTAAATGTTCCTTAGCTCCATGTGTAATTTTGCTTTTTATTTTGACGATTCATTGCATAAAGGCTAGCGATCTGTGATTTCTTTACTTCAACCACAATTGATTTAAATGCACAAGCTTTGCGCTTTTCACACACAAATAAACCCGTTTTCAACACAAATTTTCCGAAACACATTTTTTTTTCATCACAGACTTTTACCATGGCTATACCAATTTTAAACTTTTAAAGAGAATCTTCCGAATCATAAGGATAGAATTATTTAGTAAATGAAATGGATAACCAGGATTCAACATCGATAAATGTAGGTAACTCGGCACGTGTAAACTTCATAAGTGACTTGTGTGCTGCACAATGCCTATTTATATTGATAGTAAAGTTGAAAAAATAATTCAAGATTTTAAAGCAATGAACTTAATTTGTTTTATAATCCATTCAAAACCAATTGTATTTGTAGAACACTGCTTCTCACCATCAATCAGTTCTCTTCATGTGCTGAGGATTATTTGAGCTTCCTGTGTAGTAAACAATCTTCTGTGCTGTGCTGGCATGCATCCCTCAGGATATAAGAAGTATTTTTTTTAATATTCTTGTTGTGTAATAATTGCCTAATGTTATAGTTAGGAGACATAGATCATTTAAAAGCATACCAGTGGAAGTACGTTTTCTTTTTCCATGTAATCCACCTCCTGGATAATTGGACCCTCACTTCCATCAATTTCCCTGACCTAATGAAAGAAAAATACACCATAAAACACATCATAAAAAACTGTACCTAAATGCAAATCTTTCTAAATTGTCAAAGATATTTGTATCATGAATTGATTTACAAAAAGCATTGAAAACACACCTCTTCATCCACATTTCTCATAACACTCTCTATTACTCTAACTATCTTGACTGCATCAGTTTTCTTCTGAGTTAACATATAATATGTGTCTTGCGTTGACGGGCGGTGGCTCATTTGTTGGGCCAAAATGTCACGGGCCAGTGGGTACTTAGATCTAACCTATAAGGAGAAGGTATGCTTATATGATATCTATCTATCTATCTATCTATCTATCTATCTATCTATCTATCTATCTATCTATCTATCTATCTATCTTATAGCTAACTTACTGAAGTAGCCGTGGCCTTCCTCAGCTGAGTTTCCGAAATGGCCTATTTTTGCTCTGCAGCCTTCTAAATTGATTTGATGGCTTTATTCACCGAGGATTGGTTCAAAGCAGAGGGGCTGGCTGTCTTTGATGGGTACGTCAGGAAAACCGCCGACTCTTCTCCTCCTCATGCTCACTGTTGAAGCCGGGCAACCTCGATCTGATCTTGGACAAATAGATATCCATGAACCTCCATAGTTCCTCGGAAAAAACGAGGGTAATGGGTGCTATATGGCCAGTCTTGTGATGTGCAATCTGAAAAAATATTGTTAAAAGATCCTGATTCTTTCTTATTAGAAATAACATTCTACCTTAGAAATTCCCACTCCCTAACTTCCCATTCAGTAAAAAAGAAAATGAAGGACGAAAAAACTCACAACTGCCACATGGCTTTTATCTTTTTTCTTGATGTGCCTTATTTCAATGTTAACTAAGGCGCCCACCCTCTGCCCATTATTTATAAGGACGGTACAGTAACCTTTAAAATTACCAGAAAGTAGGATATGTGTTCAATTTACAAAATATAACAAGATTGTAAGTGTCTACAATACTTGGTTAGTCAAACCAGAAGTCTCTGTCGAGACTGAAGCTCTACTGGTTTGTACTTATAGCAAAGGACGAGAAAAGTACTTAGGCAGTTGGAAATTGAAACTTTTCAACAGCAATTAATAGAATAACTAGGAGACTTATTGTTCAAAGAACAATAAGAGGTCTTTCCACCTTCTTTGAATTTCAATTTTTTTTTTAAATTAAATTCCATGAATAAGAAACCAAAATTGTCTTAAAGGATAGCAAAAATTAAAAATAAAAAAAAAATGAAATGACCTTGACCTTTGACCTTGATAAAATATTCAAGGTCAAAGGTCAAGGGTCACAATGCAATTGACCCTATGCTTCTACCACTTATAGTTTTCAAGTTATAAGGTTTAATAGTAAGTACAAAGAAGTTAGAGGGCAATAACTCATATGAGGGGTCATCAGATCCTTTTGCACTTATACAATGAAGTTAGGCCTAAAGACCCTTAAGACATTAGTGAAGGTTTGATGTCGAAACGGTCTACGGTTTCAGAGGAGTAGCGATAACAAGGTTTTTTGCACAAGGGGCAATACCTTTTAAAGGAATTAATCTTAGGGGACAAGAATGAAATCTTTGAAACAGTTTTAAGAGTACATATTAATGGAGCATAGACATTAAGTATATGTTAAAAGACAAAAGAGATATAAAAAGAGCTAAATTTCTCAGTTTTGGAATGACCTTGACCTTTGACCTTTCAATAAATTTCAAGACCAAAGGTCAATGAATCTTATGCAGTTGCTCCCATGTCTCTACGACTTGTTGTTTTGAAAATTTTTAATTATTTGTAAAATTCAAAAACTTTCAGGGGCAATAACTCATTGAAGGGGTCAATAAATACTTTTCCAATTGATCAATGAAGTGTCTAGTAAATTAGTTGAAGACATTAGTGAAGGTTTCATTTCTCTACAGTTTATGGTTTCGGAGGAGTAGTGATAACAAGCTTTTTTCCGAAAGGGGATAACTCCGAAAGAGGTCATAGTTCATATACTCAGGGTCAACTGCAAAAATCTTTTACGGAGTACATTCTTATGAACTTAAAATCTTTTCGATAAATCTTGAAACTCAAAATCACACGGCGGAAAAATAATAAAAAATAAAAAGGAAAAAAAGAAACAGAAGGAAATCAATAGGTCTTTCCACAGAAAGGTGGAAAGACCTAATGATCCTTGATTAAGTCTCTTTATGTTCTTAGTGTAGTCTACTTTCATGCCACATTATATTATAATCAGACTAAAACTGTATTTGGAGTAGCATTTTGAGAGTATTTAACAGAAATTTCTATTTTTAGTAATCATGGCAACACCATTCATTGAAGTGAAAAACTGATATATAGAATCTATGTACCTTAGTGTAGTCTACTTGTGTGCCAAGTTATATTGAAATCAGACCAAAACTGTAGGAGGAGTAGCATTTTGAAAGAATTTCACAGAAATTTCTATTTTTAGTAACCATGGCAACACCGTTCATCAAAATCAAAAACGATATACAGAATTATGTATCTTAGTGTAGTCTACTTGTGTGCCAAGTTATATTGAAATCAGACCAAAACTGTAGGAGAAGTAGCATTTTGAATGTTTTTAAAAGAATGTCTATTTTTAGTAACCACGGCAACACCGTTCATCAAAATCAAAAACCGATATACAGAATTATGTATCTTAGTGTAGTCTACTTGTGTGCCAAGTTATATTGAAATCAGACCAAAACTGTAAGAGGAGTAGCAATTTGAAAGAATTTCACAGAAATTTATATTTTTAGTGACCACGGCAATACCGTTCATCGAAATCAAAAACCGATACACAGAATTATGTATCTTAGTGTAGTCTACTTGTGTGCCAAGTTATATTGAAATCAGACCAAAACTGTAGGAGGAGTAGCATTTTGAAAAATTGGTAAACAGACAGACAGACGGACGACGGACGCATTACTATCGCATAAGCTCTTCTGGTCTCTGACCAGTAGAGCTAAAAATCATGTCACGACTAAATAAGGGCGACTTGAGTGATTTCAAGATGTCGCAACTCCTGATTGGTCCTTATTTTTGTCGAATGCGCATCAACCTTAAATTTTTTTTGCCTTATTATTGTACGGTTTACCTAGATGAAAGAAAAACAGTCATATTTCCACTTAAATTCCCTGTATTTTCAAGAAATACAAAAAAATGTATATTCATAACCCTGGGGTTAGAAAGTGTAAAATGTAACATAAACATTTTGTGAACCTTATGCACTGATGTAATTGCAGCAAAGTAGAATATGTGTTGAATTTACAAAATTTAACATGATTGTAACTGACCACAAAACTCGGTTAGTCGAAAAATCATGTTGCGACTAAACAAGAGCCACTTAAATGATTTCGAGATGTCGCAACTCCTGATTGGACCTTATTTTTGTCGATTATGCATCGATCTTAAATTTTTGTCCCCCGCTTGAAAAGTGGGGGATATTAATTTGGGTTTGTCCGTCCGTCCGTCTGTCTTTCTGTCTGTCAGTAACGCTTTCGTTTCCACACGATATCTCGAGAACCCTTTGAGCTTTTGCAATGAAATTTAGCATAGCAACTCCCTATGGTCTAAAGAAGAACTTGATTTTGAGGTCAAAAGGTCAAAGTTTAAGGTCGTAAATTTACACATTCTGTCTGTGTGTAACACTATCATTTCCGGGCGATAATTCAAGACGATTTTGAGCTTATTCAATGTAATTTTATACCAAATCTCCCTAGGACCTCTCTCACCCCTCTCAAAGTGCCCCGCCCCGTTTGCTTTATTAGTATTTATAGTATTACATGTCGCTATTTTTAGCACAGGGGCATGAGGAGAGTTATTGCGTATAAAACAGGTTCTCGGCGGACTTTATGTTCTTATTACATCTATTAGAACTGTTTAATAAAGGCTAAATAAATCGTGTTTGTGTAAAATATTGACAATACCGAACATGAATATATACATGAATGTGACTTCACTTCTGCATACATGTATACTTGACTCCATGTAAAGCGATTCCGTGGTCTAGTGGTATGTTTCTCGTTTCCAATGTGAGAGGTCCCGAATTCAAGTCCCGGACTGACTTTTTTTTTTACTAAATAATAGTGTTCAGCACGCGAAATGAAAAAATTACGAGGTCTGGCTTGTACAAACTCATAAAATCATCATTACAGTGTGATAAATATTCCATAAAAAAAGAATCTATACACATAATAAAGAATAAGCAATTAAATCTTTATATCCATAATGGTATACATGTATTTTATGTATTTAAAACTTCTCTAAACCGGCCAGCTGCCGGACTGAATAAAATAGCCGGACTGGAGGGGTGGCCGGTTTCCCGAGAATCTAACATACTGAAGAAATGCAGAACTATGTGACAGATGCTAGGAAAAATATATAATTGGTGTCTGTTATAATTATCTGTCAACATATTATTTTAAGGTCTAAAAAAAGGAACTTATTATTAGTGATGATAAATTCGACATGCATATCTGAGCAAAACTTCTGTTATTTTAATCATGAAATGTATATTTTGGTAAACAAATTAATAAATTTTTTTTCTTAGCATTATTTAACAGTGCCCAATTTTAAGGCCGCTTATGTGTATTTAAAAGGATGATGCAATATGGCGTGTGATAATTTGTTGACTCATTCTGTGATTTAATTTTATTAGTTGCTTGATATTTTATTACTTCAAGTTTAATCAATGTTTATCATATGTGCACACCTTAGACCGGCCATTTACGTAGTCTGGCACTATGACTACCCCTTCACGACGGATAAACAATAGAAAACCTTATGAGGCCATGTTCAATTTTTCACACCTCTGACTTCTCGTGGGAGGCTATTTTTCACACCTCCGGCCGGTCATTATTACCCCTCTGGCCAATGACAGTTAAATTTCTTGCAATAAAAAAATGGCCGGTATGATGAGGGGAAATTTCCTGTGTTTCTTAACTTTTGTTCTTGGAAAAGTGGCCGGTGTCCGGTTTTAAGGGGTGGCCGGTTTTATGAGAGTTTATGTGTAAAGAAATGTTAAGAATTTTGCCGGTGACTTAAAAATTTTGCCGATGTTCAGGGAGAACCGGTTTCCAGAGGGGCCGGTTTGGAGAAGTTTCACTGTATTTTATTTGCTTCAGTATACATGCATGTAATACATTTAATAATTCTACAAATTCAGTGAGGGGGATCCAACTCTTCCCTCTCCCTCCCCCGAACTGCGCATGTTTTACTTTTTCCTTAAGCGGGGGGACACAAATTCTCTGAATTAGCTTGTTTGCTTTATTATTGTACGGTTTACCTAGACGAAGGAAAAACAGTCTTGTTTCTAATTAAATTCTCTGTATCTTCAAGTAATACTAGAAAAATGTATTTTCGTTGGGACTTCGAAAAATTCACCTAAAATGCTACTTATCTCTGAGCAGAGGTCATCTGGAGGGAAACTGTCAAATATTTCTTTTTATTTCAGGTTATTCATATTAAATGAAGGTTGTTTTTTCTTTTATATCAAATATAAATTGAACAATATGCAAACATTTGCCATAAAGGGAAATTTAAATATCACTTCACTTATCTCTTTTAAATAAAAGTAATTTTTTTTTAAATATCCAGTTAAAATTGAAAATAGGACCCAAAAAGGAAAAGTCACAAAAAATTATGTTACATTTTACACTTTTTTTTCTGTCCATACTCAGTAAATAGCCCCTAAAGGTCATTTAGAAAACGCTACAGTTTGTGTTCGTCACAATGACAATGTCCTCTAATCAGGGTTATGAGCTCTCTCTATAAATAGAGCTAACCCAGACCAAACCAATTCTCTCTTTACATGATATACAAAATTATGTAACATTTTACACTTTTCAAACCCTACTTATTTTAT